TCCCATGTTATTTACAAAGCTGAAATAATCTCCAACTGAAGAATGGTCATGGAAAATGAGTGTGTGTGTGTGGAGATGGAGTTTGGGTTCAAAAATAATATCTCAAGTTCCTTAAATAATGAAATCAGCTCAGCAAAAGTGTCACACTTCTCTCCTAACAAGCTTTTACACTGTTATTAATAAACCAAACACAGAGGAGTCTGAAGGACACTTTGTTCTCCACATACAGTATATCAGTCCTTGGGTACTCATCTCCATTGTTTTGATCATTTTATCTGGGTAATAACCCTCTGAGAGGTTCCTAAGTTAATTACATCCATGTCTTCACTTTTTTTTAATGTGACCTGTACAAGAAACTAAACCAAGTCCATTTGCATGTTTGAAATGGCAAAACCAGCAGGGGCTTGCCTCAGATACCTTTTAAATATTGTTCAATTTACTTCCTTTAAATATTCTGAGAGCCAGTTTGATTATATCAGGAAATAATGTAATCAATGATGTAACCAATAATAATATACCAGGTAATGCCAGGTAATATACCAGACAATAACCCACGACCTTCAGCCATACAAATAGAATGCAAAGAGATCAATTGTTTTTAAAATATATAACTTCAAGCTTTTGAAATATTAAACTTTATTTTAGAGTAATTTGTTTTCTGCTTATTTCAATGCTCAGAAAAAAGAATTCTTCAAAAACATTTTTTCATCATGAAGAATGGTTTGCAGATTGACACTTTTCTCAGTGAAGACAAATGTTAATTTTCTTGACAAACCCACAATCCTTTAAATGAACTGTACTGACAGCCTTCCTTGCGGGTAATCTACCTAATTTGTGGTTTCTGTTAAATTCTTCGATCTGATATAACTTGATCATTGTATCTAGGCAATAAAAAACAAATCAACAATAATAGTGAGATGGATATGTCCTAAGTAAAAAGATTGTTCTTCCTTAACCAGGACAATTAAGTACATCATAAAGCAAGTGCTAAAATGACACATTTAAAGTTCTCCAAAGAGGCATTAATTAATAGGTATTTTTATGACTTAGTAGAGGCTTGAATCTTTTTGTAGGGGAAGGACTAGCAATTCTGGTTTTCATGACTCTTGTGACGTTTAGTCTAGCAGACCTCTCAATTTCTTAAGTGAACTAATTTAATTTCTAATTTCTTATAAGAGGCATGGTGGTTTGTGCTAATGACAGAAGTAGGGGGCTTAGTTCATTCTGGCCTTGGGTGTGTCTGTGTGAATTGACATGTTCTCTCCTGGGCTTGTAAGTATTTGGATGGATGTTCTGGCTTCCTCCTGGCTTCTAAAGATAATAAAGTTAAGATAGACTGTTCTAGATTACCCTATAGAATTATTCCCTGATCCACATAAGAGGACTGAACTGGATCACATGTGGCATATGAAGGAAGAACTCTTATTTCTTTCAAACTGGGAACTGCAAGTTTCACCAGCTGAAAATGATTTAAAATGCTTCCGCTAAACAAATTAGCTTTTGATTTGATTATTTTGATT